GCCGAAGAATCCTCTCCCCGGGCCCCCCCAGCCAGTGGCTCCAGTGGCTCAGACAGCAGCTGTGTGTCTGGGCAGGCCCTGGGCAGGGGCCTCGAGGACTTATCTTATGTGAGTGCCATTTTACTTTTACTTCTCAGCTTCTCTCCAGCCCAGCCTGGGCCTATGGCTGCTTTTCCACTAGGTGGAGCTGGTGGTGGGTGGGCCAGAGCCAGAAACAGGCATTCATGCCTAGCTTGGCACCACAGGTCTAAGTCCAGGCTCAAAGGTGAACAGTGGACCCAACAGCCTACAGCTCCAAGAAACATCACCTCTCTGGATCTGCTGTGACCAGTCCATGGCTGGTTCCTCGGTCACCTCCCGCCTATATGTGTACCCTGTTGACCACGCTTTCTAATGTCTGTGGCTATTGAACAAAGAAGCATGGGGCCTCTCCAGAGAAGTCTGGCTGCCTCACCTGAGTGAGCATCCTAACCCCAGGCTCCTGGCCCTGGATCCCCTTCTCCTGTCCCCTCTCCTGTTCTCACCCCAGCTGTGGGTTAGGGATAGACTAGGCCAGAGGGTGGGTGTTTCTGTGCCTCGGCTGGTGGGGCACCACCACTAGGCTGCCCCTGTCCCTCGGGAGGAACATGGGTGGGTTCCCAGCAGCTGCTTCCAATCCCTGGCCCTAGAGCCACACTCCCCAGACACAGTAGCTACCCACCCAATGGGCTCCTACCCGGGCCTGCCCCGGCTCCCCAGGCCCAGCCCCTTTCTTCCAAGTTAGTTGGGTTATTTTGACTTGATGCCTTTTGTATAACTTTCAACTAAGAGTTGACTAAAATTATCTCACTGGGCGGGTAGGCCTTTGGTGACTCAGAGATGGATGTCTAGGCCTTTGACTCATGGTTTATTTTTATTTGTTTATAATAAAAAATATAGTCTGATATGTACCCTCAGCCAGGCACATGCATTCTGGGGATATCCAGTTAACGTGAACCTTGGCGCGGGCAGTGTCTCTGGGCATTCTAGCCCTCTTGTAAGTACTTGTCCAGGACAGAGTAAGAGACAGACCTAGTCAGGCCTCTCTGGATGAGCAGGTCCACACAGCGGCTGTATTTCCTGGCAAAGGGCAGTGTGAGCTGAAAGGAAAGGCTGGGCTTACCCCTGACTTCCTGGCCAGTTGCCTACTCCAGCTTCATGGGGGTGGAGGTCTCTCATCTAGGCGGGGCCAGGGACAGGACAAGCCCTGTGGCTGTAGACCTTTGATGCCCTGGGGCTTGTTTCTGCCCAAGGCCATCTCACGGCTGCCAGGGCACTGCGCAGAATGACTAGGAGGTCAAACGCACGTTTCCTGCTGTTGGTTTTCCACTTTCTAGCCATAGACACAACGCCTTTGCAAACAAGGGAAGAGTCAGAGGCCTGCTAATAATGGGTGCTGGTGTGAAAGTGCACTTGGTTATGAACATGCCAGATAATGAGAAATTAGCTAAATCTGCCTGCAGTGCTAAAATTATTTTATGGAATCAGAAGAAAACACACCCTGGTTGTTTTTCTGTCCCTACTAAACACTTCCTTTTTTCCCTAAGAATGTTTTGGAGTAGGAGTGCACAGCAGTGGTGCCATCGTGGCTAAGTATGTGAAGTTGGTATCACTGATTGGAAGGGTCTGACTCCCTAGGACCCAAAGCTTGGGCTCATGTGATGTGTTCCCCCAAGTGTGGCCTGGGTTGTTAGTGATGAAGGCACAGTGGGTATTGTTGGAAGGAAGCTACAAACACCAGTGGCCCGGACGCTGCTTTTCGACTACTCCAGAGCAATTCACATCAGCCATTGTTTCCCACCCCCCCTCCGGGACAAGGGACCAGGGGCCTAGCTGCCTTGCTTGGCCTGGACAGCACTGTCTGGCTCTTGTGTAGCAAGGCACAGTGTCCATCTCAGGCATCCAGAGGGCCGCCATTCCCAGTCGGTGCCAGTGGCCTCACCTCCACCCAGCTGTACAGGCGCTCCTGGGTGTGCCGGTCATCCTTGAAACCGGTGATGGCCAGCAGATCCACTACAAACTGCTTGGGGCTGATATGCAGGGTCTGCCAGAAGAGCCATGGTCAAGCAGGCAGGGGCAGTTCCCAGACCCTCAGAGGGAGATGTGGATTGAGGACTTCTCTGGGGCTTCAGGAGCTACCAGGAGTGGGGCGGGGGGCACTGTCATTCCAGATCTGGCCCTTGGTCAAGCTCAGTGCAGGTAACACTGCCCTGGCCTTCTTGTCCCTACCACCTCTGCTGCT